TTTAGTTGGTTTGATTTGCAAAAACTTGGATGCATCTCCGGTCATGTGCTTGGAGCATCCGCTATCAAGGTACCAAAGTACACTTGATGCCTTCAAGCACACCTACAAACCAATTTAAAAAGTTTTAGGTACCCAATTCCTTTTGGGTCCTTGGGCGTTAGGTGCACGTTGGTAGTGTGATTGGTTTTGAGTGCAATGCCTATGCCTAGTGAAACAAACCGGGGCTATATGTCCTATCCTATTGCAATAATGGCAAATAACATTTGGATTATGCATTCTCCTAGGTTGATAATAGTTACTAGGTTTTCTATAATGCTTGACCCTAGTTTGAGAAAAGTTTTGTTTATGCATATTTGGAAAATGGTTTCTAGATTCTCTAACTTGATCATTGTTTATCCTAGTGTTCTTTCTAGGTGGTCTACTGTTCCTGGTTGATGTAGATTGTCTATTATTGTTCATTTTAGTTTTTCTAGGTTGAGCATTAGGTTGTTTTGGTGGTTGCTCAACTTTTTCCTTGTTATTTGATTCATTTTCAAAACCTAAGCCATGTTTAGTAAGTTGCAGATTATCAAGAACATCATTAAGATTTTTATGAGAAACACCAAACTTCTTCAAAGTTCCTTCAAGTTTTGCAACTTGATCCTTAAGTGATATACAAGAACTACATTTTGAACTTTCCGGTTTGTCGGCGCTTCTTTTTACGAAAAACTTATTTTCTTCTTTAAGTTTTTCATTATCTTTTGATAGTTTATCAACTTCCTTCTCCATGGAAGTAAGTTGTTTCTTCAAATCCTTGTTAATTTTAGAAGCATTGACATATTCATCATAAAGTTCATTAAAGGCTTCTTGTACATCATCAAAAGTATAGGAATCTTTAGAAGTGGTACATACCTCTTCCGGTGGTTCTTCGTGTGCCATGAGGCAGAGGTTGGCGCTTTCATTTTCTTCGCCTTCCGATGACTCATCGCCGGAATCACCTCCCTATGAAATGTAAGCTCGGTGCTTCTTGAACAGTTTCTTCTCCTTCTCGTTTTTGGCGTTTGGGCATTTTGGCTTGATGTGCCCAACTTCTCCACACCCATAGCACTTGGGTGGTCCTCCATGCTTTTTGCCCTTTCGTTCATACTCTTTTCGCATGAACTTGTGGAATTTTTTGATGACGAGCCCGAACTCGTTGTCCTCATCGCTTGATTCTCCCATGGCGGGTTCTTGGATTGAGGTAGCCTTGAGTGCAATCCCCTTCTTCTTTTGTTCACCTAAAGAGGGGAATCGAATGGTGGACTCATAGGTTTTGAGGTTACCTCTAAGTCCGTCAATGGTGACGTTGGTGATGCCGATGGACTCTTGAATGGCATCGGCTTTGGAGCGCCACTCCGGTGTGAGACTTCGCAGGATTTTTCTCACAAGCTCCTTGTCCGTGTACGTCTTCTTGAGAGCATGAAGATCATTGACGATTTTGGAGAATCGTTCAAACATCTCATCGATTTTCTCGTTTTCCTTCATACGAAACAATTCATATTCATGGGTTAGAAAATCAATTTTAGCTTCTCGGACTTGATCCGTACCTTCGTAGGTGATTTCTAGTTTGTCCCACATTTCCTTTGCGGTG